GGACGCTGATGTACAGACCCAGATCTTATACCTGCTACAAAATGTAACTCAAAATGGATCACAGACTGAAAGATAAAACACAAAATATAAAACTCCTTCAAGATAACACAGGAGAAAGCCTAGAGAACCTGAGGTGTGATGATGACTTTTTAGATAAAACAAGAAATGCATGATCCATGAAGCAAATAATTGACAACCTGGAATTCAAGAAAATTAAACACCTATGTTCTGTGAAAGACAATGTAAAGAATGGTGAGACAGACCTCAGACGGGGAGAAAATATTTGTTAAAGGCATAGCTGATAAAGGACTATTACCAGGTATGTATAAAGAACTCTTACAAGTCAACAATAAGAAAACAAAACACCAGTTAAAAAAAAATGGGCCAAAGACCTTAACAGACACCACACCAAGAAAGATATACACAGGGTAAATTAATACATGAGAAAATGTTTCACAACATATTTTATCAGGGAAATGCAAATTTAGACAACAAAGAGATACCAGACACACCTGTCAGAATGGCAACATTCCATAATGTGACAACAGCAAATTGTGGCAAGGATGTGGGACAATAGGAAATCTTATTTGTTGCTGGTGGGCATGGAAAATTGTACAACCACTTTGGAAGACAGTCTGGCAGTTTGTTACAACACTAAACATAGTTTTACCATATGATCCAGCAATAGAATTCTCAGGTATTTACCCAACAGAGAGGCAGAATTATGTCCACACAAAAACTTACACGTGGATGTTTAAGCTATTTTATGCGTAACTGTCAAAACTTGAAAGAAACCAAGATGTTCTTCAAGAGGGGGATGGATAAATAAAGTGTGGTGCATCCAGACAATGGAATCTTTTCAGCACTAAAAAAGAAAAGAAGTGAGTTGTCAAACCCATGAAGAAATATAGAGGAAGCTTAAAAACATATTACTAAGTGAAAAAACAATAGCCAGTCTGAGGAAGGATATATACTATGTGGTTCCAACCTTACGACATTCTGCAAAAGGCACAACTATGGAGACATTTAAAAGATCAGGTGTGCAGGAAAAAAAGCATGAATAGGTGGAACACAGAGAAATTTTAGGAGAGTGAAAATACTGTGTATCATGCAATAATGATGGATACATATCATTATGCATTTGTCCAGACCCATAGAATATACAATACAAAGAGTGAAGCATAATGTAAATTATTGGCTTTAACTGGTTACAATGTATCAGGGTAGATTGATACACTGTAACAAATGCACCCCTCTGGTAGAGGACACTGAAAATGTGGGGAATTTGTGGATGTGTGGGGTCAGAGAATATATGAAAATCTGTGTGCTTTCCACTCCATTTTGTGGTGAACCTTAAATTGCTCTAAAAACATAAAGTCTTATTTAAAAAAACATGTGAGAGAAAAGCTTTGTAGACAAAAGCTCAAGGGAATTTATTTCCAGCAAACCAGAGCTGAAGAAACTTTGAATGTTTAAAAATGTTTAATGTTTTAAAAAAATACTTCAAGCATGAGAATATGATATGAACAGTAAATTTAAATGAAGAAAAATAAAAATGAAGATTAAACACAAAGACATAAGGATATACATGATAAATATATACAACTAGGGATACAAATAGTGTGGAAAGACTTGATTTTTAGTTGGGATGAATATTTCTTATGTTGAACAAGAGTCAATGTGTCCTATGAGTTAAGAAAATAAATTCAGAACTAGATAATCCTTGGATGACTTCTCTGCCACTTAAAGAGTATATGATCTTATCCTCTGTGAACCTCAGTTTTC